AAAACAACAGGCCAATCAGAAGAGAAGATCATGAATATTAATTAGACAGACCAAAATCGACCTGTTCTCAGCAGAGCTCCTGAGAGAGGAGCTGTAAAAATATATTGAGATGGTTTTTGGTACTTATACCGCAAATATATATTCTTAAGGACATCAAAACCTAAAATAAAACTCCAGAAAGGTGTACAATATGTTTTTGGACATGTTTTTGGGGGGCGGTAAATAATGGAGCAAATACCAGTAAATTGACTACTGCCTTGTCCAAAAACCCACACTTGCGGTCTTTGCACTTGACCAATTGACTACTAAACTTAAGTATTTCCTGTATTTGGCCCAAGTGTTCAAGTGAGCATGAAGACCGCAAGTGTGTAGAACTTTTCATTTGCCTTGTCCAAATACCAGCACATGCGGTCTGTGCACTTGACCACTTGACTACTTATTGACTACTTACATATGACACATTTCCTGTATTTGGAAATCAGGTAACTTTTCATTACCTGATGGGACACACTTATAGTGTTGTAAAAATGCAAGTGTTTACAGAGCTTTATTTTTATTTTCAATACTTTGCATTTTAAAATCAACTTTTAAATGTCTGTTCAGTAGTCCCTTTAACAGATGACACAATTTAATTTTGTGGTGCTTCTAATTAAATGATAAAAGCAGTTGCAAATATTGTTCAAAATAAATATACTCATCTTTGCACCAGTAAAACTTGCAACACTGTTTTACTACCAAATTATATGCAATATCTAATTATTATTATTAATTAACTTATATTTGAAAGTCTCATGATTTATTTCCAGAACATGATGCATGATGGGATACACTAATCCTCAAATACCACTCCGGCCGCACCACACGGATACGTTTTCTACATTGTTTGTGCTTTGACTTGAACGAAAACAACGTATCCGTGTGGTGCGGCTGACACAGAACAACATATGCTGTTTGCGTTCAGTGGATACTCTCCAAAATGGCACTAGGGTGACGCGGAGGAGATGAATTGTTGAATAAAGTCGTTATTTTGTTTCTTTTGTGCATAAAAAGTATTCTCGTAGCTTCGTAATATTACGGTTGAATCCCTGATGTCACATCTATTATTTTACCGATCTCCTTGCTACGTTTCTGGACGTTGATCATGGTAGTACCCTTGCTGTCTATGAGAGGGTTAGAGAGCTGTCAGAATGCATCAAACATATCTTAATTTGTGTTCTGAAGATGAACGGAGGTATTACCGGTTTGGAACGACATGAGGGTGAGTAATTAATGATTTTTGGGTGAATTAAAACACAAAACATTATTATAGCGTCTTTGGTGTTTCCATGTTTTCTACAAAACAAAACCGTAAATCGAGGGGTTACGACGTCATTGGCAGGCGACACAATGACACTATGGACACGGTCCGTGTCACTAGTTAAAATTGCTTATTTCTCTGGATTTAAACATTCTTTGAAACATTTGGGATAATGTAAGTACACAAGTCAGCAAAATATATAGCACTGTTCTAGTGGTTTTTGGATATTTTAATAAAGAAATCTTACATATTGTGCCTTTAAAGGGTTAAAGGGGTCATATGATGCGATTTCATGTTTTCCTTTGTCTTTGGAGTGTTAAAAGCTGTTCGTGCATACAGAAGATTCGTAAAGTCGCAAAGAGTGAAGTCTCAAACCCAAAGAGATATTCTTTATAAAAGTGAATGTTCAGCCACGCCTTCTTAAAACGCCTTGTTCAAACACGCCCCCACATATATCTACGTCACTTTGTGGGAAGATTTGCATAACACCGCCCAAATGTATACGCAAAGAAAGAAGGCATAACTTTTATTCTTGCTTATGTGGAAAATAATGTGTTTTTGAACCTTAAACCGCGTAAACATTGCATTACGCCAAATATACAAAATAATGTTCTTTTTTTATCAACATCATATGACTCCTTTAAATACTCTCCTCCCATAAATGTTGCATCTGAAAGGGAAAGGGGATTCACTTATTAAGACATGTCACCACCTACTGGGGGGTTTAGTTTCATATATAATAGAATAATTTCATTTTTGTACACAACATTTCATATTTATATATTCTATAATTTTAAAACATTAATATAATAACATTATGTACGCAATTGTAATTGTGGTGTAAATGGATTTTGATAAATGGTAAGATTGTTGATACTGATTTCATTTGATTGGCAACAATAGTATAGTATATGGTGTTAATTTAAGGCTGTTCAACAGTATGTAACTTTATTTATTATACATAATTATGAAATGGGTGTCCTTTTTCACTTGAGCACCTGCCCACAAAAATGTCCTGGTGCACAGATAAATCATTTATAATTAAACACTCCAATATTCAATAAAAATAAGAATGATACATGTTCATTCTTTTCTAGGCATGTTTTGAACATGTCTGGGGGAGATATATGGTTACATGTGGTTTGGCACTGCAGGATGATCACCTGACTTCCTGTCTCCCTAACACTGTCTTAGGCGTCTTACTGTCTTACATTACAGACATTGCAGTTTATTGCTCTGGCCAGTGGCCACATCTGCAGTCCTTAAACCTGCCTGCAGCAGGACTATGGCATGTTCACGCAGGTGATCAGGGACTCTGGGCATCTTTCTTCTGGTGTTTTTCAGTCAGTAGAAAGGTCTATTTAATGTCCTAACTTATTATAACTTTGACCTTTATTGCCTGCTGCCTGTATTTAATGTCCTAACTTATTATAACTTTGACCTTTATTGCCTGCTGCCTGTAAACTAGACTGTTCCACATGTGCATGTGCAATAGCCTACTTGTTTATGGTTAATTGAACAAGCATGAAAAACAATGTTTAAACTTTTTCCAATAAAGATCTGTAAAGCTTAATTGGATTTTACAAAATTAGCTTTAAAATACAGCACCCAGTTTTTTTTAGAGTTTAGTATTTTGAAAGACCAAATTTTGACTATTTCATGCCACTGATTGCCACTGATTTCTTGGTGCTTCATCATGCACCCAGATAGTTTGTTGCTATTTTAGGAGCTCTTTTATCAAGTGCCTACTGTACCTCATGCAAAGCATGTTAGCTTGTTAACAGCTCTGCTATGGCAACAGTGTGTGCCTAGTGTGGTAAGCAGGTACATTAACTATGAAACTATAATGCATGTTATGCAAAGTTAGTCTATTTCAACCATTTACACAGATTTTAAACTGCTAAAATAATTTGTCTTGTGCCTCCTTCTTTTGGACAACATTAGTATTACGTCCTTCATCTCTCAATAGATATCTCAATATATTTCTTATCCTGTGGTTCCCTCTAGTGGACAACATTAGTACAACACATTGTAATCCGTCGGCCATTTTGAGTTGGCAAAAACTTCTTTTTCAATCTCCTCATAAACCACTTGACTGATTCATAAGAAAAAAGTTATCAAAATAATTTTAATTAGTCAAACCATTTAGATTATATATGCCAATATATTTAATAACCATTGCTCCATGCACTTATTAAACCATTTGATGAATCCAAATTCCTTTGATAACTTTTTGCCATGAGGGTAACAGCAGGCACATGACCATTCAGTCTGCAGTACTGAATGTATTTAGGCTTTTTTCTCCTTTGGCTAGCATGCTGTTTATTTGGTGTATCATAGTAGATGTGCATGGTGTTGTTGCTGATCTGAGATTGTCTACAGAAGGGTCTGTCAGATTGACCTTGACCCCAACAAAGTAGTTAAACTGCTTGAACGAGCTATAAAAAAAAAAAAAATCAAAATAATTTGACATGAAGGATATTTTTCGTCAGCGATAGAAATATTAGTTAAGCAGTAATGTGAGCAAGTTTAGTTTGAAATTTTTGAATAGTAAGTCACATTTAGACAGCATTTAAAGATAATAATAATAATAATAATAATAATAATAATAATAATAAATATTTATTTGCAACAACTGATGGAGTGCTGAATGCTGCAGGCACAGGCAGTGTTGTCAAGGTAATATTGAGCATGAGCAAATAATTTGCTGGCTGCAACTGACTCAATGGCCACCAGTGTCTCTAATAACAAGGGGTTTTGAATTCAACATAAAGTCCCTTTAAATAAAATGAAATCAGACAGGTCTGTTTAATCTAGCATGTTCCCATTAAAATGTACAATAACAACCCAAACTTGGGCTTTTGACAAGCAGTAATTTACATTTATATGTATTACTTATGTAGACACGTTCAGCAAATTATACTGGATAAGACAGTCTTCTAGTATATTCAAGAAGTACTCATTATGGCTTGATGTATGATTGAGAGGAGCATATGTTGAATGTATTTTTTTTTTATTCTATAAACTATTATAACTGTTATACACGTTATATCACTAGATATTCATCGCATAATTTCAATACTTTATGTTATTTTCTTGCTTTGGTTGCTTTTCTATTAATATAAAATATGGAAAATTATAATAAAAAAAGAACAAGACATGTCCACACTTTTGACAGGTAGTGTTTCTATAAATAATGACATAACAAAAGCATACTGTGCTTTCCAAATCAGGTTGTGGAAAGCGAGGTGTAGACAGTTAGATTTCTAGTTACTTCACTGCATTATCAAAGGTTGTGTCAGTGATTGGCTGCCAAAGAGATCCCACATGTTAGTGTAATTTTAAGATTGTCTTTTAAGGTAGCCTGCAGTAGTCGTCTGCTAGCTTGTGACACTCCTTATTTTATTAATACCTCTTTATAAAACACTTTTTTTAGACTGCACATTGCTTTTTTGAGACTGCAATTGCTGCACATTGCATTTAATAGGATAAACCTGACATTCAACAAGTCTTGCCACATTTAACTTGCTTTATTATGTGCATATATTGAGTTTGTATTCTTAAAGACAGAAAACATACCTTAAGAATGGATGAGGAGGTACTTAAGCCTTCTTTCCCCTGTACATCTTTTTTATGATGCTTCGCTTTTATGTTTGCTTTTGGTTGAGAATTAAGTACTAATTTCTGTCTATGACCTCCACAGAATGGCCTCAACGCTTTGCACTTGGCAGCAAAGGAAGGACACATAGAGCTGGTCCAGGAGCTGCTGGACAGAGGGTCTTCAGTTGATTCTGCAACCAAGGTAGAGTTTCTCAAGAAAAATATGAATGGTACTTGTGTTAAGGTTTACAGAGACTGGCTGGAAGCTACAACTCAAGTTTACAAATAAATAATGGTGTAACCTTATGCTGTGCATTGAAAAGTATGTTAGCAACTCTGTAGATCACTTTTCTGTTAAGCATGTGGAGCTGCTTGAAATACGAATGATTTCTAGCTCTGCAGCACTGGCGGTCCGTGAGGGAAATTTTTAGGAATGGCTTTGTGTATTTGCTGATCAAACCTGCTCCCATGCACAGTTGATCTTTTCCTGACAGCTTAAAATAGTCTTGATAATTAACAACACTTCCCAACCTTTTAATCACCAACCCAACACCTGTAAACACACAAAATGAATGGGGGGAATCATGCTATATCAACATTAACGTTTGAATGTCAGTTCTTATTTCAGGCTGTCAGGTCCCCTTGACATTCATGCTGGGATTTCAGACTATGCTACTGCTTAAATTCATGTTTATACACAACAAGTATGTACAGATGTATTAAAACAACAACTTTGTCATTGTAATATAGTCATTTTGAGGTGGTGCTATCCTACTCTGACAGACTGCAATAGTTCTTCAGTCAATATAACAAGAGCTGAAAGGCAGGACCACTAAGGCTCCTCCAGGCTACTACACATGTGCACATGAAAAGCCTTGTGAACTGTTTTGGAATACATAATTTATGGACTTTTGTGTAGAAGCTTCCACACTCCTAAAGTGTGCTTCAATATCTTCAAAGTTTAATTGCTTTTTGTGTTTTCTTTTAAATACGTTTTGCTGCATATTTGTAAAAAAAAAAAAAAGTAGGACTACTTTAAAGTGTTAAATGAATGGTGGACAGATTTTTTTGACCTCATAAGAATTGAGGACAAAAATGAACAGATCATTTTGACCTCAAGTCATTTTGATCACTATTTTGAAGGGTTAATCAATGGTCAAAGGAGCATTCATCTATTTATGTATGTACGTGTTTATGTATGCATGTATGTATGTATGTATGTTTCTAAAGCATTTTCCTTTGATTCCAAATATGGATGGGTAGTTAACAGAAGATACAGGTTAGTTCTTTAGTACAGTCTGTTTGTCTATTAAAACGATTTCACACCTATTGGTCAAAAACTGCAAAAACCAATAGAACCCCTTATAATCAGTGATACTGTCTACACTGAATGGCCCATTCTATTGCTGACATACCTCACATGCTCACGCTACCTCTGACACGAAGGAGAAATGGATGTGGAACACTGGATTTGACAGATCCAGGATAAAGCCTTAAGCTGTTATGGCACACCTAGCGTTAAATAATGTCTTGCAATACTAAAGGCTGCAGTTTTGAAGACCGCAGTGATCCTAGAATCCAAGACCCTAGAATGCATTTCTAGGACCCTTGTTTTTTGTGACACCACCACCTGGCCAATTCTACTCCATCAGAGGAGATCTGGTTCAAACCTGAAACAAACAGATGCAAAGACTAAACCCGTAGAAATTATTCAGTTCTTAATTTTTTATATATTTACAGCATGTAAGAGTGGACATAGCCATTTTAAACATGAATGTGCAAAACATCTGCTGTCAGCCGCTTGCAGTTATTTTAGCTGTGCAAAAACAGTTCATTATGCTGCTTAATGTTGCAAATTGGTATTTGTTATTATCATATTATTTTCATTTATTATTGTAATCATAAGCATACTACTTTGTAACTGAGAGAGTTTACTGCACTTTGTTAAGCCGGACACACCAGACAGGCGCCACACTGCAGCAGTGCTAATTAAATGGACAGAGAAGCATTGTATCATATGTCTCTCTAGGAAGGTTTTAAATATTTAAATAATATAAATAATAAATAATAATAAATATTTAAAAAGACAAATCAAATAATAGGAAAAATTTGTATTGTACAGTATTTTAGTTGACGTTACGCTTGATTTCTGATAGAAGCACACATACAGAAATGGCAACACGGCTGATTGGGTTGCGCTAATTTTGTGCTAATAACTTTGCACACTCAATATTTCATGCAAATTCAGAAGCTTATCTAAAATATCATATTTGGTGTCCAGCAAGAACAAGGAGTTACTGTATTTAACAAACATTTTTGTTGAGTTATTTATTAGAATTTGTTACGAAGTAATTTATTTATTTATTTTATTTTATTTTTTGAATTCATTATCCATGCCTTTCTGAATAAGGTATTCGACTTTGGGCACATCCCTGATATCATTTGTGCCAAGCAATTTTAAGAGAAACTGAATAAATGATGAATGTGTTTGTTTGGCTCACAGAAAGGAAATACAGCTCTCCACATCGCTTCACTAGCAGGACAAGGAGAGGTTGTAAAGATCCTGGTCAAGAGAGGAGCAGACATTAATGCCCAATCTCTGGTAGGAACAAGTTTGACATTTATGCCTGCAAAAGTTTTCCAAGTAAAGGGGGGGGGATAAATAAATAAATAAATAAAATAAAATAAAAACCATTAAAATCTGTGCTCTTGTAGAATGGATTCACTCCTCTGTACATGGCTTCTCAAGAAAACCATTTAGATGTAGTGCGATATCTTTTGGAGAATGGTGGAAACCAGAGTACCGCAACAGAGGTAAACAGTTCAAGTGCTTCTAAAACTGTATAGAATGACAAACTTTAGCTTAATGTGATTCCCCTTCAGGAACTCGAGCTGCGTCGAAATCGCTTTGGGAACGCCCCTGCGTGACCGCGTTCTGAAGCACGTGTCAAATTGCAACCAGATGTTCTTTCTAATTAGCTAAAACCATTTGCATTCACTTACACCGGCTGTCAAAATTTTGGAAGATTTTTAATGTTTTCACAAAGGCTAAATTTATTTGATTAAAAATACATTAAAACAGTATTATTGTTATTTTTTTTTTCTGATGTAAAATGTGTTCTATTTGAATGTACTTTTCTATTTGAATATATTTTAAAATGTCATGTTTTCCTGTGATGGCAAAATTGAATTTTCAGCAGACATTAGCAGAATTTCCACAGTCTTCAGTGCCATATGATTCTCCAGAAATCATTTTAATACGTCGATTTGCTGCTCAATAAAAAATAAAATAAAAAATCATTTTAAGTGATAAAAAGCCCCGCAGCTGATCCTAAAGATTACTTTGCTGATGTCAATCACAGTGCTGATTGCCTACATGCTGTAACAAATACTAACCCCAAACTACACCCTAACATTAACCTTAAAGTATACCGAGGTAGCATTCAAATACTGTGGTGTCAGGATTATTGGCATAATGTAAGGTTAAATGCATTATTTTAAATATATATATATATATTTTTTTTTTCTTTTTGCAGGATGGCTTCACACCTCTAGCTATTGCACTGCAACAAGGCCATAATCAGGTGGTGTCCATCCTTCTAGAGAACGACACAAAGGGCCAAGAACGTCTGCCTGCCTTGCACATTGCAGCCCGCAAGGATGACACCAAATCTGCTGCCCTGCTGCTCCAAAATGACCACAATGCCGATGTTCAGTCTAAGGTAAATATGGGCGGAACATAGAGCTGAGGGTAGTATGTTCAAGGATGGAAGGAGGAAATATATATTGAAATCTAAACTGAAATTTGGCTTCAGAATTTTAAAAAAGGTTTATTGAATGATGAATAATGTATAACAGTATGTGTGGCCTTGATGAGATTTACCAATCTCTGCATTAGGGTTGAGACCCAAGATTGGTTCTGGTAATGGTTCTTATACATCTTCATACTTCTTCACGTTTTAGCAGACTTGTGCTTGCGGTCTAAATTGAATATTATTTTAGATATAGACTGGGTACTCTCAAATAATACAAAGACAACTAGCCTACATGTATCAATACATCTATCATTGTTCTCACTGGGTGCATGCTAGCACTGTAAAAAAAAAAAATAATAATAATCTTCTAAAGTTTAAAAGTTTAACTGATTAAAGGTATTTCCTCCGTTGACTTCCTTTTGAACAGAACTGTCAGGATTCTATTGCACATTTTTAGCAAAATATGCAGTTTCCCGTGGGAGAGGGGCTCTGCCAAAAAATATATATATATATTTTTTTTGTGATCTCTGACCTGTGCAATTTGATCAATCTCTCAGCTGAATTGAAAAAAAAAAATAAATACACAAACTTAAAAGCTGCGTGATTGGATGGGGGTTGTGGGGTCTGTAATTTTGCATGCTTTGCATGTGACTACAGTTGCAGTCTGAATCAAACTAATGACTTACTTGTTGATTGAGTTGGTAGTTACACATTTCAGAACAGTTTTGTCATAATAACTGGTATTTTAATTAAACACTCTGGAATTTTTTTGTTTAAGTACCTAGCACTGTAAAAAAAAATAATAATAATAATCTTCTAAAGTTTAAAAGTTTAACTGATTAAAGGTATTTCCTCCGTTGACTTCCTTTTGAACAGAACTGTCAGTATTCTATTGCACATTTTTAGCAAAATATGCAGTTTCCCGTGGGAGAGGGGCTCTGCCAAAAAATATATATATATTTTTTTTGTGATCTCTGACCTGTGCAATTTGATCAATCTCTCAGCTGAATTGAAAAAAATAAATAAATACACAAACTTAAAAGCTGCGTGATTGGATGGGGGTTGTGGGGTCTGTAATTTTGCATGCTTTGCATGTGACTACAGTTGCAGTCTGAATCAAACTAATGACTTACTTGTTGATTGAGTTGGTAGTTACACATTTCAGAACAGTTTTGTCATAATAACTGGTATTTTAATTAAACACTCTGGAATTTTTTTGTTTAAGTACATTGTTAGTACCAATTGAAACAAATCATCAAATTCATTTCGCACATTATGATTCCCACCCCTACTCTGCATGTAGCTACTAACAGAACATTAAAGATTCAGCATCTTGTCACACTGTTCTTGTAAAACTGTTTATGGTCTTTTGTGTATGTGACTTGCAGAAGTTTCAGGATGTTTTTAGTGTCTTCCATTATTGTGCCAGATGAAATCTTTTGTCTGTGTTTGTCTCTCTGCATTTCTCTGTTTCTCTCTACAGTATAAATGTGTCTGCATCATGTGTTTCCATCCCGACACTCTCCGGGTTTCACTGTTTTATCTACTTACCCATTACGCTATTTTATCAGTTGTAAAAACATTCACTTCTTAAGTGTATACCGTAACTGACTGTAAATATGCAGAAACAGCATGCACTTGCAAAATGAATGTGCACAGATGCACATCTTTTCACTACATTTGCGTGAAAGTGTGCATGCATGTCTGTTGTGTGCAGTGTGTTTGTGCTTGAGACTGAATGTTTTCTTTTTTGGGGGGGGGGTAATAGAGGTATTTATTTTTCTTTAAAAATGGCCAGTGATTTGTACTATAAGTGGTGTTTTAATTTTAGTTCAAAGAAAAACATGCAGCATTCAGAATGTTTTTGATGATGAAAAATGTTCTAGTTTAATTTTAGTTTCAGTTTCGAAACAAAATAGTTCTTAAGTGATTCATGTAAAAAGAATTTTAGACATTTGTTGGCTTAAATGCCAGATGAAATGTTCATATTTATGTATTACTGTTGTCAACTTTTGAGGCACAGTTTTGAGCTAGTTTTAGTCTAGTCTAATTTACAATTCATTATAGATTCCTGTAAATATAGAACATCAAAGTATTTAATTTTTAATCTTAAGGTAGTTAAATGTGTGATTTTGTTTATGATTTTCTAGTAGTCCTGTCTTTTGCCAGCTATTAACATAGATGCAGCATCACACAAAAGCTGGTTCCTGAGCCAAGACCACCATGAAACTATTGTATTCACAAGAGTATGTATTACAAGGGTTAATTTATTTTGCAACTGATTATAGGATGTTTTATGGAAATAATATGATTTGAGTGGTCAAGTAACCTCATACCGTTTGTCATCTCCTGTGAGTTAGTATACCTTTAAGAATGGGTTTTTAGTGGCAGGCTAGATAATTGATATGGTCCCTCAGAGAAAAATGAAGACCTCATGCTTCTCTGGCAAAATTTGCATGCAGCCACTATCAAACCCAAATGTGTTTGATTGAAATATAACAAGCCTATTTCCTTCCCTGTTTTGCTGCAACAGATGATGGTCAATAGGACAACTGAGGTAGAGATATTTATGTAGTTCCTCTTTTTTTTTTCTTTTTTTTTTTGGCACTTAAAAAACTATTGATTTATTGCGTCCATTTCTGATCCTCTTTTTGGCATGCAGAATTGATCTTTTCTGTTTGTTAACTCAGCATTTTTAGTTCTTTGAAGCTTGCATGTCTGGTTAGTCTCATTCACAGCATCATCCACCCTTTGCATATGTCACGTCAGAAATGTCAGTTTTATTTATAAAATGTATTGAATGAGAATGTTTTTAAGTTATATCCGGTGCCTTGAATGCTGCTCTCGTTTAATTTGAGACAGGCTGAAAGTCAATAATCCAGACAGTGTCTATCCTCCTAACATCTATAATCCTCCTCATCAGGAATTAATATTTCATCTTTTACCTACAGTCAGTTTTAAGCTGCAAGGGCACTGACATAACAGCTGTTAATGCAAAAGTACTGTGTATATATATATATATATATATATATATATAAGCGCTATGATTAATCGATTT